TGCGCATACGCGTGTGTGTAAATTTGTGTGTGTGTGTGGGGGGGGGGGGGGGGATGAAAAGAATTGACTAGTTTATGTTATGAGTCTCATTCGGGAGTGCATCCTTCCCTATGGAAAGTACCGTAAAATACCGTTGATCCGCCGCCCACGCCATATCGCTTCCCAGCTGGGTTTTCGGCAGGTGGCGGGAATTAGATCAAGGCTGTCAAGTGCAGTACGATGTACAACAATGTGGAGGATCAGACTCGATGTGCTGAATTGTGCACATTTTCATCCTGGATTGGCATGTATTGTGTACAGCAGTGCATGCGTCGGTTCAACATCGTATTTCGTTGTGTACGCCGAAGTTGCTTCACAAGTAGAAATACCGACAGGGTGAAGGATTTAAAGAGGGGGCGGATCAACGGTACTTTGCGGTAGTCATATTAGGATAGTCGGTTGTTTTACTTGAAGTTTCAAACCCAACAGACTGTATGGATCCGATAATTAGTAGGCCAATAATGCCACAATGTACTTGGACCTGCTTCAAATCAAAAAGAGATTACTCACCATCAAGGTCTGAGACAATATCTTTATCAGGTTGAAAAGGACCTCCGCTACCATATCCAAGTGGCAGTACAGTACCAGCTACATAATTATCTTTATCACTGCTATCAAGTTGACTGCTCCCTTGTGTAACCAGCAGTGCAAGTAGCAGACCAATGAGAACATGACGGTTGTCCAACACCATCCTGCCAGGCTGCAGATCAGTGCAAGACAGTGTGAGTGTGTAGAGTACCTGTACAGAACGGTGACACAACACAACACACATCAATGCACAGGTCAGATATCTTTTGCCACCAACTGAAGTACAAATGGGCTTGAGAGTGATGATGCAAGACGTCAATAAAATAATGACTTCTGGGCCGAAATATTTCATGCTCCGGAGACCATAGCGAAGTAGGGTATGTGTATGTGGTGGGTAGGCCCCCGCATATCGCATCCTGGTGTGACTTGTTTGTTTTGTTTACTGCAGTGGATGCCGGGCAATGAGGGCCCAGTGCCCAGTCGCTACAGCAGGCGTCATTCCAATAGGCAGGAAACTACCCATCACTGTGGTCCATTCCCCGGGTAACAACAACACACACAGAAGTCTTTGCCGAGAGCACTGGCTCGAGAAAAGCACAAGCTTTCCGAGTCTCGTTGGCCGTTGGAAAGCGTACCAAACGTGTGTATACCCAACATGTCGGCATTGTCATGACTACAGCCTGGCTCAGGTGATGCAGCACTCTCAAGTCCTATGCTGCTAGTAGAGCCTACGTACCCCCACCCCTTACCCTACCCTACCCTCCCGATTGACATGCACCTCCTACACTGGCACATGGTGTATCTTGTTACATTAAAACCTGTCAAGGCGGCCACTCGGTTAAGGCGACCACCTGTCCCAGAAGACCACTGCAATCAGGACCAAGGGATACTATTTCCTGTCAAACGACCGTGGATAAGGAGACCACCTGGCAACAGAGACCACATTTGGAAGGCCCCTTGAGCGGTCGTCTTAGACAGATTTCATTGTTATGTTCATTTTTTCTAGAGAGCCTGAGGTAATGCAGAACACTGAAACGCAACTCACCTCCTTTTACTATTCCACTGCTTTCAAAGTACACTTCCGCGCAGGTCTACGGAGAGCGACTGCTGAGGTAATTTTTGCCGACTTCAATTGCAAGGTAGACTGATGACTTTCTTCGCTGATTGGCAAGACCTCGGGAATTTATACTGCATTTAGAATGTCCCGGCCGGACGCTAGCTCCGTGATCTTGCCACCTTTTCGCCAAACCCTCTATCACATTCATAGTCTCGACGCCAGAGGCAAGGCAAAGCGGCTCGCCGCAGTGCCGGCGAGCGACGGGTGGAAGCTGCGTTTGGTGATGACAACCGTCGGTCGTTTTGAGTCAGCGGTCTTGGGAGGCACGCTCAGTTCAACTTACAATCACCATTCTCTGTCACGTAAACTGATACAATCATGATAATTTCTTACTGGGTCAACAAACTGGCACCAAGGGGGAATATGGTAAATTGTCGGATTGGCTTCTTTGATGCGTATCCGCAGAAGCTATTGTATAATTATTGTCGTTCAACCTCACCGCCACCACTGAGGGTAATGAGGCGCCGCTGTCAGAGCGAGCGCTGGGACACACTGTGGCCCAGTGTGGGTAAACTCCTGCAGATTGACGCGCTGTCGAGTACCTGGAACATGTGTGGCATAGCCGCTGACAGAACTGACAACGAGCGACACACTCGAGAAAGTCTTCCATGTCCCATTACATGTACGTACATGTACATGTAATGACTATGTTACTAAAAGAAGTATACGACTGATGTCGAGTGATACAAAACTAAATACGGCGGCCTACATATATCCCCTAGCTAGCTCCGAAGATAAACAACGAAAAACATTATTATTTTTTATGTTACCGTGCCTATTCAGTGCATGCAACCGCCACAAAAAGGAGATGTTTGGCAAAACTGGCGAGTCAGTCTTTAATACACTGAACATTGAAGTGTGACATGTGGCACAGTAGAACATTCGAAGTGTGACATCACATGTGGCATGTCCCGGGCCGCGGGATATACGATGTGTGCGGTTGGTTGGTAGGTATGGGGGATGATCATACCATGTAGATATCTACCATGGACGACTCCTTGGTGATAACAGACAAAATGTGATACGTAAGCTGCGACAAGCCGTATGATATACCCAGGAATTTTCTGCGCTAGAAATGGTGCGAAAAGATGTCCGCGACAATATGAGCATTTAAAAAAAAATGGGGACTGGACTAGGCCTTGACGGATTAACCCATCGATTATGCTAGCATAATTTTTCGCATAATTCCTACCAAAATCGAATAATCGCATAATTCGAGGCAAATTGCATACGAATCGCATAAAATTGTAATAATCCGCCTGTTCGCATCAAATTCCATACAGTTGTACATGTTCTACAAGTACATGTACAAGTACAAGTAGATGCACTAGGAAGTACGACTCCCTTGGCCTTGGTAACATGTCCAGTCTACTACAATCAGTGATGGTCGTAGCTAGGTCGGACAGTGCGTTGACCCCGTTGAACTTTTGCTATTACAGTACAACGCCCTCTACAAAAAAATTCCCCTGTTATTTTGCACAGAACCATTATGCATTAGCAGCATATGTGAGCATAATGGGGCATAATATGATAACTTTTAGCATAAAAATAGCATAATTCTGCATTTTTTTCAGCAATGCGAAAAGCATAATTTCACGAAAATATTAGCATAATCCGTCAAGGCCTAGACTGGACACTCCTTATGTACTGGAAAATAGCACAATGAATGGAATGCTCGAAAATGTAATGAAAGCAAATTCTACACAATGCAACCTGGATTTGTCATGGCGAACGTCGATATACTTGTACAGAACACAAGAACTGGGCAACGAGAGAGCTTGGAAGCTCAGAGACCTACGCTGTGCATTTTCCCATAGCTCATCAAGCATGTTATTGTATTGCAACAAGTTTCCATCTGTTCGAATAACAATACATGCATGATGAGCGAGGCAAAAAAGTATAGCGTAGGGCCCTGAGCGAAAGACATAAAATTTCTCTTCGCATTTTGAGGGTAATACGACACTGTCTACCACAATGTACGTATAATGCTAATCATTATGCTCCAAAAAACTACCTTGTAATGCTGATTATAATGCTCCAACAAGGGCTATAATGCTCTTGGTTTGGCAAAAATATTGAAGAAAGGCTGCACATTATCAAACTTCCAGGAAAGGATGCATTATCTGCCTCTGAAGCTTCTACAATATCTCTCACGAGCTCCACCACTTCTTAGCACTATGATACATGTACATGATTGCGTCCGTTGGCTGCTCTCCATTGCAACTTTGATGCAGGGCTGTGCCTGAACAGTGGGTGTATCAAATCTTTTCCCTTGCTTATCCATGTAGTGAGAGGTGAAACCATTATTGCTGGTGATCATTTGGATTATTATTATTTTTTCTCGTATCCGTCCCGAATGGGACTCACGGCGGCAGAATTAACTGTGAGCATGTGTGTGTGTGAGTGGGAGAACGAAATGAAAAAGAAAAGAAGAGTCTTGTAATAAAGGTCAAATTTAAGAAGAGCAGTACTAGACTAAATGGCTGAGCAGATGTTACGGTACTCCATTGTTTTCTGTCGCGGGCATAAGTGCCGAGATCACGAAGGCAGCTGGGCCTAAAAATGCAGATAGGTGTGAGGCGGACGTCTTGCTGGAGACTTGTGGTGAGCCAAGAGCAGGGTGCACCTATTCGAAAGGGCTGACTGGTAGCATAATATGCTACCAGTCAGCCCTTTCGAATGTTGCTCTCACTGCTTTCTGTACATATTATGTACAGAAAGCAGTGAGAGCAACATTTGCAGGGATGTCACTTGGCTGGCGTAATATATGTCCTAATAGCTTCCACCTGTCCCGCTTGGCCATTTCAGATACAGAGCACTGGCCAGTAACAGCATATAAATCTGCATTCGAGATGACATCTGGGTAGGTAATTCCAAGGGTACACCGCAGCTGTTTCCTATGAAACACATCGAGGCGCTTTTCTTGTGCACGGGACAGGCCATGGCAAGCAAGGTTGTAGGTCAAGATTGGTAGAACATCATTCGGATGCTGGAACGTCAGGCGAAATAGCACGTCATCGTACATTTGAGATCAGCGGGAAGAAGATGACGACGTCCACTAATTTAGTATCTGTGCACACGAATCTGCTGTATGTGTGACTCTGTGTGTCAGCTATGATATCATCTTCTGTGGTTCCATGCCCAGCATGTACGTCTGAACCATCCTGCAAAGTTTGAATGACGTAGGTTGAGCGATCGCTCCGCGAAATATACTTTTTGAAATTCTCTTCAAAGTATATCTTCCACCATTGAAATTTCGAATTTCTTCAAAAAAAGTGCTGAGAGGGGTGGCTTGCAACCTCGATATGGCTTGTTCCAGGTATGCTTTGGAGCCATCTTCTGTTGAAGTAGTGGCGGGGATCTGCCCTGCAACTTCTACAACAAAAAATGATTCGATCTGAGAAAGGGTGAGACCGCGAATCTCGGTTGAATATTGAGTATTTCAAGCCTTTTCACGACGAAGATGGAGTTCTTTTTGGAGATGGACGTCACGGCAAAGGACATGGTGTCCGACGTCTGGCGTCTGGTGAAGCCAGGGATCATTTGTCCAGTCAGGTCGGCAGCCTAACCGTCGGTAAGCTTGTGTTTGGATCCCGTTCTGCTCGATGTGGTAGATCACAAACAATAATTGATATCGCACAAATTGATCTCAGCATCGTGCGTACGGTATTTTATATTCAGAAAATCCCAAAGTGTCTCTGTGTGGCCGTCCTATGCCACGAGAAACTCCAATCAGGCTCCTATGTCCTCTGCCTTCATGATTGAATGTCCACTTCGTTTGAACAACGAACACAACAATCGAGGACGGCTTTGCAATGAAAAATACAGCTATACTGGAGCTGAAAAAAAGAAGAAAAAAACGTGCTCAGGATGAGACTCGAGTACACGCATACTCTCCCAGCAGGTGAAACGCAAATTTTTGTGAAAAATGCGTGACGCCGACTGACCAGTAATTTCGCCTGACGGCTTATCATGGGAAGTGGTATTCCTGCCTGCAGACAATACAAGCTGTCATCGCTTCCACTCTGTGAAAAATATCTTCATTTGAAACAGCTCACGTGAGGCCAGTTCCTGAAAGACGATCTCAGATCGAGATCCGCCCCATTTGCGGAAATCCTGAAAACACATGGTTGGAACGGTTATTTTGCCGCTCTGCATCCTCTCCTTGCGCTGTCTTCTTCTCCTGCGGTTACGAGGAGACAAATGGTTGGCCACAATATTAATCAATCGACGAGGAGACAATAGTCGTAAAATGGCAATAAATAAGATAAATTGTGCACTCATAACAACAGCAAAAATGAAGAAAGTCAAGTTCCATAACGTTTTCTTGTGACTGTCATCAGTGGAACGCCGTCACATAACTCGTGACCCTGTGCTATGTAAACAGAAAGAAAACGTTGTATCACTCACACTCTTCAAGTAATACACACGCACCATTACATTCATTCACACAGTATCACATTCATCTGCCACTACCTTTCTCACATACACTATATTCACACATTGCAAAGGTGCAAACTTCGCTTTTTGTACTTGTTAGCTGCTGTATTTCTACCTGAAACCATATTAGCTACATGTATATAAGTGTGTGTTTTAGTTATTACATTTTTATGTGACGGCGTTCCACTGATGACAGTCACAAGAACACGTTATGGAACTTGACTTTCTTCATTTTTGCTGTTGTTATGAGTGCACAATTTATCTTATTTATTGCCATTTCACAATATTAATACTCTTCTTTTCTGATAGCACTTGACTGTAGGCGTTGCATTACAATCGTCCACGACGAACTGTACGTGCTTCACCAGGAAAGTAAGACACGCGCTGCTGAGCACTCAAATCGACTTGGTACTGCGTCCATGAGAGTTCTTTTCGAGCCTGCTGAGCTGGACTCGGCAAAGCCAATTATTAGTAGCCAGTTATTTGAACAAGCTTTCTGTGTATAGCCGCTCCTTCATCCAGATCCACATGTATCAATGGATCAGTGTTTACTGAAGCATAGCTAGAGATGCTATGGCCAGGGCCTATACATGGCATAACAGGACAACTCCTCTTCGTCTGTCTGATATTCACTTCGCGTACGTCTAGTCTCCTCCATGGCTCTCCATGATTTCTACAAAGAACTCCTCGTAAAGCATCGTTACGGATTTTGTGTAACAGCCTCAGTTGCAACGTTGGGCATGCTACATGACCTGTACATTTACTTTTACCTGACTACATTGCTACATAAAGAATTTACAATAGCAATGGCATTACATGTATGTAGTCAGATAAATGTAGCATTAGTGCTAAGGACTAAGGTGTTGCGTGTCTACAAAATCACAAAGTCATGTGCCGGTACGGTACATCTGGTACATGGCGTTGCACCTCATGGCTTTAGCCGATTGTTGCCAAAAACCCTGAGATTTCCCGACATTATCCACTATGAAACTCGTTATGCTGCTCAAACCTCACATGATGCTCGTCTTGGTCCTTTCTAATGCTCCATAATGCTCTGATGCTCGGATAGTCTCATAATGCCGTATATAATGCCGGCATTATCCGCTGGACCCTATCTACCACCTTGATGACCTAGGCAAAAAAAGGATAGGGATGTTATAAATTTTTAAATTCTCCTATTTTTTCAAGACATTAAACCTAGGATTCGAACCCGCACTATCGTCCTGCATGCATTCCCCCGATACACTTCGCATACATACTCATTCTTCCAAGTAGTTGCTTCACGTTATGATCTTGCATTTTGAAAGCCCTATTTGAATACATTGTTGTATTGTGGGCCAATTTGTGGCCAGCTGTCTTTGATGGTACGGTACGAGATAGCGTCAGGCGTGCCGACGGCACAAACACACAAACAAACACGGAATTAAAGCTGTGTGGACCCTCGCTAGCGGCAGACGTTACTGAAGTAACGTCTTTTGCATAGCTACGGGAATAAACGCAAGTAGGCAATTTGGATGATGAGAACTTACAATTCCGAAGTCACACAGCAAAATAACCCTGCAACAAAACAAACAATAAAAGACGCGAAAAATGACAGCCCAACTCCATCACAAAGATTGTCAAAACCTTCCTTCTACCATTGCCAGGGAACTCAAGGCGTTGATGGGCGGATGATATGCCGATCTCGCTCCTCTGATGCACATACATGTATACATGTAACTGCCGCTCGAAGCAGTATAATTATACATATAGAATCAAGACAAGAGACCCAGGCGCGTATCCAGTCCTGGTGATATCATGATGTCCTAGATAGGACATCACGGAACCCAGCATGCCCCAGCATACATACTATGCTGTTCCCATAGTAATCGTGACACGTGACTCAAAACTTTGTGTCGCGTCCGAGGAAGATGAACATGTCGCACTCAAAACAAACGCAACGAAGGCCTTTCGTCTCAAAAGTAATTTTAGTTGTCGTTCTCCTGGCGGCTTGCCTCAAGCGAGTCGAGATTCGTATCTTGCCTCTTGCCTTCACGAATTTTATTTTCCTCGTTGTGGAGTACGCCTGGACAAAGGAACTGGCAAGCGAATCGTTTTGGTCACATTGAAAATTGCAAGTGCACAAGCCTGAGGATTGGCGAAGCAATTTGTGTTCGCACTTTCAGCAGAGCAGTAGCTGCTGCTGCGATAAAGTTTTTACTTTCGCCATTGGCTTCAGGCAGCAGAAGGATCTGGCTGAAAGCGATGGCGATACGTCCATGACCACCACGTCCTGGGTTTATATCCAAGAAAGACCGTCCAAGGTCCAGTTTTAGCCAAGAGCTGTCGTATCCAAGAAATCAAAAACGCCAACAGCAAACTTTGGCCAAATAATATCTTCCAGGCAGTAATTTACGGGCCTAGCGCCTGCTGGCTCGTCTTCCTCCTCTGCATGGCCAGGTTTGGGGCGAAATGAACGCACGGGGCGTGAACCGTGGCATGGTGAAGAAACATTCCAAAGGCAAAATATTCAAAATAATTTAATTAGAACCAATCGTTTCCAAAGAAGCGCCGCGTGGCTACGAGAAACCCCACATGAAATCCCCAAACGAAAACGGCCATTCGGTCGGGTATTCGATGGAGAATCGAATATACACTACCTCAATCCCCGCCGATGTCTGATATTCTCCACCTATTCCCTCAAACTTGACCAATTCGGAAAGAAATCCATCGCCATTACGATCGTGCATCCTCCACATACATTCAGAAATGCTCACGCAGCACTTCTTTTCAGCGCGTGTGCGCGACCGACGCTTCCATGACAACTCTGGGACAGGTAACCAATCAGACTCATTCAGAGTGCGATGTCCTAGATCAGATAGGACATCTCCCGGACTGGTATCTATTCTGGGAGCTCGCAGAGTAGGACTGCTGGGCACGCGCGCAACACATTACAGATTCACCTCAAGACTACCTCTCCACTTTCGTGGACACTACTAGTACTACCTCTTGACGAAACGTTGTTGTTATGCAGCTCTTTATTTTTTCGTTGAAGTAATAGTTGCATGCTTCTGGTAAAACGGGATGCAGGTTCATTGGGAATGCTCAAACATGGGTGGTGCATTTCCTGAAGCAAATAGACAGAGCATAGCGGAGCATGATCCCACCTGACCACTGTGAGGGGTCACACGAAGAGGATGAGGCAGGCAATGAGGCAAGTACATGATGCCTATGCCTCTGCTATAACAACGTCACAACAACAACAGCAGCAGTAGCCGCAGCAGCAATGGGACAGCTCAACTCTCTTTGGGGTCACGTACAGGCCATGGCGAGAATACAACCAGCCGAGCAGACACCGTGACTGTCAACTGCAGCAGTGGTCAATGGTGGTGGTAGCAGAGCAGCAGCAGCAACACTGACGTCATGACGTGACTGCTACATTAGATGCACTAGATTATTATTATAGCTATAAAGAGAACAAATTCTGCTGTCATCGCCACACTACAACAAAGTCAGGAAGGTTTACCAAAATCGATTTTCTTGTCACAATCATCAGTGGAAAGCCGTGACTGAAGAGTAACCATGCTGAATCAATGATTAATATACATTCAATAATGTGTTACGAGAACAAAACAAAGTGCTAAAATAGAATGAGGGAAGGTGAGACAATAGAAGTGAAGTGAGAGCTAAGTGCAACAGGGGTGAGGAACTAATTACAACGCTAGAACTGTGTATTGAGACAAACAATCATGCTGTGCACCTACGAAAACAATCTTAACGCAACTACATGTTTCTTCTGCTTACAAAGATCAGGCTTATGCAAACGAATACAAACAGCCTCAAGTACTTTCAACTGACTAGCGTACCGTGCACGACAAAGAACAGAAAAACTAAAATCATCATACACCTGCAGACACTTAGGGTGAGACAACAGATGAAGAAAAACGGCAGACTTCTTACGATCACAATCACCATCCGATTCCTCGTCTCCACCAACCGCAACCTCGTCCTCCGTCTCATCTTCCAACACAGTTCTAGCGTTGTAATTAGTTCCTCACCCCTGTTGCACTTAGCTCTCACTTCACTTCTATTGTCTCACCTTCCCTCATTCTATTTTAGCACTTTGTTTTGTTCTCGTAACACATTATTGAATGTATACTAATCATTGATTCAGCATGGTTACTCTTCAGTCACGGCTTTCCACTGATGATTGTGACAAGAAAATCGATTTTGGTAAACCTTCATGACTTTGTTGTAGTGTGGCGATGACAGCAGAATTTGTTCTCTTTATAGCTATTATAAAATTGTTGTCTCCACGTCGATTATTTATAGATTATTAATATTATTATTTTAATATGGCAATAAGTAGGACGAGCTGAAGCGACATGTGGACTACTTTATTAACAATGTAAGCGATGGAGACGATGCAAGAAACAATCTAAAGGGTAAGAAAAATACATGTAAGAAGAAAAAGGGCAATGGAAAAAAAAATCGCTTACATTGTTAATAAAGTAGTCCACATGTCGCTTCAGCTCGTCCTACTTATTGCCATATTAAAATTATTGTCTCCTCGTCGAATTTTTAAATATTATTATTATTATTTTTTTCTTATTTCAGATGTACATGTAGATGCATTTGGTAGCTTCGAAATTATCGCAGATAAAAATTATTATCACTCTCTTAGTATTGACTCCTATTGATTTTCGCTATACCTAAGCAGTCCTGCATATTTCACTCCTTAGGGCTATATTGACTGCTTATATTTGACTGCTTAGGGGTTGCGCAGTTGAACGGTGCCTAGTGCAGCATTGTCACTGCATGAGTAGGTGGTGGTGCAACGGTTGTGCAAGCATAAAACCGGGATTCATGAGGTTCTCATTCTGGAATTTGAAATACGGACTGTTTGTCGTAATAAATCTAATATTGACTTCGTACTTGGTCAGTATAGGAAATAAAACCTTGTAAAAGACCTCGGCTTCGCCTCGGTCTTTTACTCGGCTTTTATTTCCTATATTGACCTCGTACTCAGTCAATATTAGACACGTATTGACTGAACATTTTGTTCAGGAATTGAATCACCAAGGTTATCAGTCTCTTTGTCTGTCACCAGTTAATCCCATGTATAGACTTCAAGACGCATTTGCAGCCTCGAAAATGGTCGAAGTGGAAGCAATGTCATTGAGGATGCATTTTGACCTTTCCCACAATGCCTCTCTTTATTTAAAATGCATGAATAGAGGTTACTCACTGGCTAAGACCTCCAGGAAAGGTATCTGTGTGCAATTATTGCTGATGAATTGCAATTACAAGTGGTAGAAATAGACTAGGAGTGAAATAGATGAATATTAGCACCATCCTTGCATTGAAGTAGTGTTGTAAAGTGCTCGCAGATCAATATCAGTGAACTAAAGACACTACATGTTTGGGGCATTTACTAAATCAGTTGTGTTCAAGTATGTACACATATTAATAGTGGAATACTATTTTGGTACTAGCCTAGGAGGTGCTTCTTCTTTAGCCATAGATGCATAGAATGTTTTTGTTAGCTCCATATGGGCTATATCTAGGCTTGGATATTGCCAACTATGGTTTTTATTGGCAGGGGAAACTGGGAAGAACAAAACCAATTTTTGAAGAGGCCACCTGGACACCTTTGCACGCGAAGGCCTGTTACAGAAAAAGTAAAGCCCTTGTGCTGGTGAAACTTGGCAGGCATCATCTCTGATAAACACGGAATGCAGACTCCAACAGGTTTTTGAAGAAAGAACTTTACTTTGTAAGGTATGATCTACCCTTTCCCAAAAATTGGGAAAAATCCTATAAATAGGATTTGACAGACAAAAAGATAGAGCTGTGGTACTGATGAGGCCGTTATGGCCAAAACAGCTTGCTATCTACAGCATTGGGTGTATATATGTATGTGTGTTTTTTCTACAATCATAGCTCCATGGATGCACCAAAGGGAGATCAGGTAGGGAGGATTATTAAAGTTGATAAAGAAAACAGAAGAAAAAAATGAAAAAATTGTATTGCTCAGTTAGCAGACGAATAAGTTGAGTATTTGTATGAACACTGTTAGACTTTTAAATTCAGGAGGAGACTGTCTCTGAGGAGGGATTATGTCCAAGCAGGGAAGGACACTATACTCTCTTACTTGCATATGCGCGCGCACGCGCGCGTGTGTGTGTGTGTGTGTGTGTGTGTGTGTGTGTGTGTGTGTGTGTGTGTGTGTGTGAGAGAGAGAGAGAGAGAGAGAGAGCTATACTTGAGAATTGCTGCAACCCAATAACTTCAGGTCCGTGTTCGAAAGGCATTGGGCATGCGTCCCTGAATGCAGTCTGCAGCTGTTGCAGCAGCCTGGCAGCTCAGATATGCTGGTGTACTGCTGCTGGGCTCTCTCTCCCTGCCCAGATGATCTACTGCTGTACACCGGCATGTGCAGCACTTGTGAACACGGTGCTCCACCATCTCCACTGTCCGGTTCACAAACGCCTGAACGGATCCATAATCTGGGACATCATCCAGCAGTAGCTTCTTCAGGTCCCATGCAGCACCACCAAGCTCCAGTGCCACATGAGTGTAGTCCCGGCGGACGTTTCTACGGTGATAGCCAGTCACACGGCGAGGGTTACCTGTCACGAGTACCTTCTCAAACTGGCCCACAAAGCGACTGCTTCTGTAAACCACACCACCAGCATCCATGCCATACCCTTCACGGCCATTCATCAGGAAAGAGTTGTCCACAATACACTCCAACTGTGCTCCACTTTTCCGGATCAATTGCTTCAAGCCGCTCCTTGTCAGAGAAGTAGCATCCCTGTGACGATCCCTATCCTCATCAGTGACCAGAATGACGATTGGGGCAACGCTAGCTTGGCGCAAACGCAGCTCCGGAATATCCTCCAGGGCAAACCTGATGGAGTTGTAGCCATCCTCTCGTGACCCAGAAGCCTGCAATGCAGCGCAGGCTTCTTCAAATCCATCCACTCCATACACTCGGTTTCCGCTAGAATCCAGGATTACCCGCGGCTGGGCAATAGGATGTCTGTCATTGGGGAAATGGGACCGGCCAAAGCCAACCAAGCTATACTGGTTGGGGATATCGGGGTAGACTCCAATTCCATGTTTTCGTAAAGAATCTTCAAGGTATCTTATGGTTTCATGAAACCAGGCTTTTTGAACAGACACCATACTGTCTGACTCATCTACAATAACAATGATATCAGCTGCAGACGGACCACAGCCGGGTTCAGGGCTGCTTGTGGAGGTTGCTGGAGGTCGCTCATAGAAATCCCTAGGCACAGTGTCGTAGCACTTAGCTGTGCATAACAATAGATAAACAGACAAAACGAGAATTGGAGGAGTATTATGTTGTTGCTGCTACTGTTGTTGTTGTTGTTGTTGTTGTTGTTGTTGTTGTTGTTGTTGTTGTTGTTGTTGTTGTTGTTGTTGTTGTTGTTGTTGTTGTTGTTGTTTTGATTCTGTTGTCGTTTAGCAACAAAGATATTGCGACTTGGGCAGTAGCATGTGCTCAGGAAGTGGTGCTTCATAAGACATTTGTTTAATGGAAGGCTCTACGTGTTTCTTCTGTGTTCCAGACGGCAGTCGTGAATTAGCCATGTGTCAGGTCAGTCACCAGGAAGAGGGAGCTCCAGTGTTCGGAACACCTACCCTCATTAACCTTTCAGAACAGTGATTTTGCGATGGGTATAGGTACCATTTGGTATGGCTGAAAACAAGAGCATGACTCAGATTAAGCAAAAGGGTGCGTTTGTTTTTTATTGTGTTGCAGTGAAATCCAAGCATCACATTATCCTAGGCCTGTCAGGTTCCAAAGAAATGTAGCCTTGGGTTGCACGACCTTACATACAGATCATAACGTGATTTCCGATTGCACCCACCGCTGTGTGCCACCGGATACATGTATCTCTGATGCATTAGAATTGGATTTTGCAGCATTTTTGTTGCAAGAAACCTCCACGAATACAAGCGATGTACCGTAAAGTACCGCAAGAGCGACCCACCACCACCGCCGCCGCCACCACCAATATCATCACCATGACCACCACCACCACCACCACCTCCCTTTTGGAGTCGTATTTCGGAGGTAGGGTCCTGTGTGTAGGTCATACAATGCGTACCGTGTACACAAATTGCGGCACTCTGTGAAGTCATTTCAGTCAATACATCCTCATACTCAGTTGATTTTTAAGAGCAGATGCGAGATCCACACATGAACATGCTAAGGCTGTGTTTACATGAGGCGTTTCAACCCGGGTTGAGTTCGACCCGGGTCAGATTTCAACCCGCCATGTACACAAAATGAATAGCGCGTTTACATCACGCATTGCGCTTGACCCGGGTTGATTTCAAGCCTCCCCCCCCCCCCCCCAAGGGGAGAGTTGAAATCAACCCGGGTCAAGAAAATCATACAAACGTACTTCTGTGCGTATCTCGCGCCAGGTTTGAACAGCACTGCACATGCAAATTTCGCGCGAACAGATTCACGTGACCATACAGGACTCTAGTAGTGGACTTTTGGCCGCATATCAGTATTTGACCCGGGTCAACTGTCTTCGTGTAAACGCTCACCTATTTTGTCTATCATACAGACTTTCAACCCGGGCTGAACTCGACCCGGGTTGAAATTTCTCATGCAAACACAGCCTAAGGTCACCTAAATTAGTACACTACACTAAGGTTCTCACACCGTACAAACTGAGTTGCACTGTGCCATGCAATTTTCCTTGCTCTGGCTGTAAAATCAAGGCTCTCACAATGTACTCACAATGAACTGCAAAGTTGACAGAATCCCATGTTCAACGTATCACCGCTATCAAAGAAGACGAGCAGCAGGCTTGAAGTTATGGTAGTCAAATATGTACATTTCGTCTTGTTGCTTCCAGGTTTGGCAGAATTGTCGGCAGATTTGTTGTACATGTGGCTGCGCTTGTGTCTCTTCGTAGTACATGCGGTTGCACGTGTAGCTCTTTGTCGTACATGTGGCTGCTTTTGTGTCTCTTTGTTGTACATGCTGCTGCGCTGTTTTCGACTCCTGCGTACATGTGGCTGCACCATCTTCTGTCCCCTCCGTATGCATTATTTCTCATCTCGTCCCCGTAGCATACACATTTTCTCGTTTTGTCTCCGTTGTATTTGTCTGGTTGCCGTCTTGTGTCCGTCGTATTTCCCCGTCGTTCGTCTTTGTCTCCCGTCCTGTTCAGGCCTTGTTGTACTTTGCACAGGCACCTCTTTCGTATCCCTCACCCCGCTTTTTCCCCTGTTTTCTCCACGTCCCCATAATATATTCTCTTGTCCGTTTTGTTGGAGCGCAGTTCTCCCGTCGCCTTATGATAGCAAGTCAGAGAAAACGCTCTCTCCCAGTTTGCACGAGTCTTTTGTTGTTGTGTGGAGTGGCGAGGAGAGCAACAGTTCGTCCAATTAAATTGACGACATTTCTCACCGGCTAGCTCAGTCGGTAGAGCATGAGACTCTTAATCTCAGGGTCGTGGGTTCGAGCCCCACGTTGGGTGCCAAATGTCGTCAATTTAATTGGATGAACTGTTGCTCTCCTCGCCACTCCACACAACAACAAAAGACTCGTGCAAACTGGGAGAGAGCGTTTTCTCTGACTTGCTATCATAAGGCGACGGGAGAACTGCGCTCCAACAAAACGGACAAGAGAATATATTATGGGGACGTGGAGAAAAGAGGGGAAAAAGTGGGGTGCGGGATACGAAAGAGGTGCCTGTGCAAAGTACAACAAGGCCTGAACAGGACGGGAGACAAAGACGAACGACGGGGAAATACGACGGACACAAGACGGCAACCAGACAAATACAACGGAGACAAAACGAGAAAATGTGTATGCTACGGGGACGAGATGAGAAATAATGCATACGGAGGGGACAGAAGACGGTGCAGCCACATGTACGCAGGAGTCGAAAACAGCGCAGCAGCATGTACCACGACTCAGCAGCATGTACAACAAAGAAACACAAAAGCAGCCACATGTACGACAAAGAGCTACACGTGCAACCGCATGTACTACGAAGAGACACAAGCGCAGCCACATGTACAACAGATTGACTTGACATGGCTTATCTACATTATGGTAGTACATACACTTCTTTCAAAGTACCTTACGTTCACATGTGGGTTGCCGATATGTGATCCATTCGCCACCACCTGCGCACACTGCACTTAGGCTTCCAGCCAAGATATAAGGCTGATCACACGTCCATGTCGCCTGTACAACAGAGCAACAGATAATCATGGTGGTGTTCAAAGTTTACTGTCTTGAACATTTGAACAAAGGTGAATCACCCCTTTTCAGCAGCAGCACAAAATCGATGTGCAGCAATCCACTAATGATATCACTGATGTTTGCCAACTTCACTCATATGCCTTTTATGCCATGGAACATGACCCAGACGAAGCTAACAACGTCTAGGCCCTTACTAGTTGGGCATTTACGTCTGAGATTTACCCTCACTCTCTTCACTAAGCCAGCAAGCCACCAGTGCAGCAGGGTATGGTCAGGCATACCACCGGCAGGCTGCACTGGTGGTCCGATGCATGGCAAGCCAACAGTGCAGCAGGGTGTACCCATTGCAGGCATACCTCTGCTCTTGGAGCCCTGCTCTCTCATTTTTCCCATCTCCCAAACAGTTGCAAGATTCTACTCTACCAATGCTATATTCTGCCTTTAGTTGATTATGCTGACATAGCATGGTGTGGTCTTAGTGCAGCTGCTGTTTCCAATTGGTAGCCACTCACCTTGGATCCAAATCTTAGCCCCGGTGTCCAAGTTACCGCACCATTACGAATTGAAGGTGGTATGGGGCAGGTGATAGCTACAGTGCAGAGTGCAGACAACATCAATCATACAATCCGATTCATCACATGGAATACAGCTGTGGAGCGTGTGTGCAGATGAACTTAGCTAGGTGTGCGTACAACACTGCGGATACACTGGAGTTCTGCAACATCTTTCAGTTACTACAGCCTTACACAAAACACTAGGACAAGAAACACAAAACTGGGAGTGTCCGAATTGGTGAAGTTAATTAAAGGGACACATTCAATACGCGCAGCACTTGAACATTCTAGCTTTCGGGTTTTAGGACCATACAATTCTCTTCTTCAACACCATGACTGAAAACGTCAACTCGTACTCTTGTGGTGGCTAGAAGCAGACCGTGACATGGCCAGGAGTGACATGTTTCATCGAGTGTTGAGAAAGAGAGTCATGTCCTCCCAGGCCTGGAGACTAATAATTGGCCCGAGTAAAAGAAAGAATGCACTTGTTGCGAGGTGTGTGCCTTACGCCTGCAGACCGGTGGCGAAGGAAACCAGTCAAACGTCCCGTTGCGGCAGGTTAAAATATCTGGTCCATCTAGCCAAAAGCCTGTCTTACAACTGTATATTATCTGCATGCACAGGTGCACGGTAGTATACGGGAAGGCATGGTGATGCATAAAAAACAGGCAGACACAAACCAATCAATTTCATACACACTGTACACGAAGCGTACGATTTGTTTCCGTGAAAACTGAGTACATCCAAACACAGTCGTACTTAAGACCTTGCCGGGGTCTGGGGTTCCTCCCATTTTTATATGCACAGGCCCAATCATTTCATCACGTTAGAAGAAAACAGCATTTCCTTTTGACATACTTACTTTGAGCTGTTCAATAATCTGGCACCCCCCCCCCCCCCCCTCTCCCTCTTCAACATGCAATAGACTACTCTCACAACGCCATTTTGACTATCATTCCGTATCAATTTTGCTCTCTCTTTGGTTTACTTATAAATTGTTAGTGCAGTAGAAATAGGAAGCTGTGCTGCGATGCATAGACATCACATTTAAATCAAGACCATCAGACAGGTTGCCCGATGGTCTTGATTTAAATGTGAAACTCTGAGGTCACACAATGCACTTCCACCTCTGCCAGTCTACGGTGTAGAAATCTGTCAGTGTCTTACACGGGTGTTGAGCACTCTTTGGGAATTGGAGCAACCTACAGTTCTGGCCAGAGAAATCCAACCTCATGAATGAAGTACCTCATGCAGGGCCGGTGCCACTGGTACGGCTGGTGCAGCCATGCCCGTACCAATTTTTACTAATTCCAGCGTTGATGGGCTGCTCAGTGTGCAATTGATTATCTGGGACTGTACCAGTAATTACCTATCCTCATACACTCCTTTCTAGAGTTTCTACGTTCTCAACTGTTCTTCTTGTCCATCAGTGAAGTCTACTCCGCTAGCTGCCATATCTGTTGCCAGAGGAATGTGCAGCTGAAAGAAACAGATAATGCATAGAGGTAGAGATGTATCCTCCCAGGATTTTGAAATTAGGTACATGTATGTGCAAATAGTCGGAACTGTAGCCGAACCCGGTGGGTGCGCAACACCCCCCCCCCCCCCCAGGAGCTGGCTCCGGGCCTGTCATGAATGAAGTAGAGCCGCATTAAAGTTCACAGACCAGTATGTTTAGTGCAAGGGCTGTGTCGCGCCCGGCGCTCTTTTATTCATGAGGTTGAATTTCTTTCTCCAGTACTCTACTTGGGAGAATGAAGTTGAAGGCACCTGTACTTATGGTTGAATATGGTTGTAAAGACACACCTGGTGATATGGCGGTAAATACACGCTTGCCCACACACGCTCTCTAGGCTGCAACGTTCTAGCATGTATTTACCACCATATTGCAAGGTGTGTCTTTACGACCATATTCAACCATCAGTACTTTTTGCAAGTAGCTTCTGCTGTTCCTGTTCGTATTATTGTTATTTTTCACCTTGTCATGTCCCTTCTTCCCTCTCTCATAACAGCCACCTTCACTTCCTTTCCCCAGGAGACTCCCTTTGATAGGCATCCATTTGTCTCTGAAGAATCCTTGAAAAAAAGTATAAAATAAAAAAATAAAATAAAATACGGATGGCAGTCGTGAGTCAGTCAAGTGTCAAGTTCGGCAAGACGCGTGTGTTCCTAGTCGGAACAATCAACTTCATAAAGTACTGTACTTTATTTATTTCTGCACCTCGTGGCATGTCAAGATAGCCAATTGAATTGAGGAGAGGGTGAGACCAACCACGGAAGAAGAGAAAAAAAGAAAATGAAGAGCACGTATACAAAGTGGGAAGGGATTAGCAACTTACAAAGCAATGGGATGCTCAGCGAGCTATGCAGCGGAAGTGGTGACTGTACTTGCTTGCTTTTAGGCAGTTATTTCAAAATTCTCTTTCTTTGCGGGTTGGTGTTGGAACGTTCTCTGTTAGTTCATGTTTGTCTTTGTTTACATGTATACTATATCACTCAGTATTTCATAACTGGGCACTGCTCGAATATTCTTACCATGTGCATTTCACTATTCGCAACCGGAGACACCTCTGCTTCAGTTTTAGTCCTATCTTTCTGACAGGGGCAGCAACCACCGTCTGGTGGGTTCCAGCATCCTCCGGCAGTTGCTGTCGTAATTAGGAACGAGGAACTTTACAATGCATTACTAAGTTGTTCTTCAATCATTAGACATTTTAGAAGTTAGAAATCTGCCTCAGCTCTCCGTTTTTTTGTTCTTTTTGGTTGGTTCTTCAACGGAGTCTTGAGAATAAGGTAAGTTTATTGTATTGTAATCTTGGAAATAGATCGATGCCACCGCTGGTTGTTCCTGATATAAGCATGGGTTTGCTAGGGAACCGATGAAACAGTTGGATTCACCCCCCCCCCCCCATTTCCGTGCCTTGGTTATTGTATAATGCTGCATGATGCACCACCATTCATGTTGAAAGCTGTGAATAGAATGACATCTGCACACATTCCGTAGGGCAGAATGGTTGGTTTACTGATGCGCGGCTGTGCAAACACCCGCCCTGTCTTATACAACATCTCTGTACGCAATTAAATTATTATGATAGCAAGGTAAGGTGCGGATGCAAGTTTTTAAGCTCCGCTTACTTTAGGTCCCTGTGGCAAAGAACTCGATCTGGACACGCTAGGAGTATGGCATTGAATATGGACATCGACCTCGTCTTGCTGACTTTCGAAGAGCTGCGGCATCTTGCCAAGCAACAGCCTATTGACGGAGCCGAGTCAAAGAGCCGAGTTGATCTTGTGGTTTCCCTAAGACAAGCTGGTGTGGGTGTAACCCCGATCAAGGCCAATGAGGTCAGTACTAGTAGTAATCTGAAGTCTCTAAACGAGCTTGTATGTGTAGTGATAGAGCTAAGAGAGCAACTTGAGCAAGTGAAGCGTGATAATGCCATTGTTTCTTCACTTCGGGATGAGGCTTCCAGCCTAAAATTGGAAGTACTAGAGCTGAGGAACTTCACAACAGGCGTACTCTCTCAAACTGCCAATGACACCCACAACCGTCGCACAAGTGCTTACGAAGGTACCGTAGAGCCCTCCCTGTATGAAACTGACACATCCATCCTCACTGCATCCCAAACACAGCGCACCTCCACATCGCATCATGCACGCTCCAGTTCAAATGACCATACTACCGGTATGCACTCGCAACCACGTGCCGCTTCCCAGTCCAGAGACACTACAGCACCTAGACCTGCTGGCAACGGTCACGTCACTACGGACAGCAGTTCCCGCAACAAATCAGATGGATAGAGCTCTTGGGTAAATGTTGTCCGACGTCGGCTCACATCTCGGTACGTCAAGCCTATGCCCACGGTCGAGACAAACCCTGTAGTCCTCACAGGTGTCGAAAAGGTGGACAAAGCGATTTTCTACGTAGGAAAGGTCCACATGGGCTGCAGTGCCGACTCCATAAAGGATTGGTGTAAAAGAGAGTGCAGTGGATGTGCTCAACTGCACCATCTTGGAATCCCGCACCTTCGGAACAGCTTACGCCAGAGTGACATTTCCAGCCTCAGCTACGGAAAAGGTACTGTTTGACAGATTCTGGCCTGCAACTATCCAGCACACCGTGCCGTAAGAAAGTGGCGGTTTGCAGATTCAAATACGAACAAACTGGGTAAAACCTCCACGTCGTCAGAATGATGGCTTCCGCACCGCTGAGCGCCCGAGCCTTCCCATATAATCCTAAGACTCAACATGTTAATAATCACTATTGTTACGATTAATTGTCGCTCCATGTCGAACAAAATTCCCGAACTCCATGCATTATGTCGATCCAACACACCGACTATCCTATGTCTGACAGAAAGCTGGCTCTGCCCGATACATATGCTCAGTGTACCCGGTTATACGTGCTTCCCTTGAGATAGGCCAATACCAGCGAACCAAAGGGCCCAGTTCTGAGGTTATGGTGGTGTTGCCATCCTTGTACGAGATGGGACATTTTTGCATGCAGCCCAGCGCTCAGATCTTGACTCACTCCCCAATGTGAAACCATATGGGTTGAGCTTGGAGTTCCTGCAGACCTGGGTGCTAATCCTATGCTCATTGGCTGTCAGTATTGCCCTCCTTCGCAATCCCTACCTGAACGTACCTCATTTTGTGACATGATGACGGATACCCTACGGGCTGTAGACCTCTCATCCGTTGATATATTCCACACTGGTGACAACAATGCTCACAACTCTGTCTGGTGGAGTGGTGACGCTACATCACGCGCTGGAAAGGAACTTTCGCATATATTCTCCAGCTACGGTCTCTCCCAGCTGGTAGATTTTCCCACTCACACCTCTCCTAACGGAATCCTGTCGTGCCTAGACTTGCTCGCTACTAATCGTCCCCAATCTGTATTCTCTGTCGACGATGCTGCCCCGCTTGTTGCGTCCGACCATTCACAGGTAGTTACCACCCTTTTCTACAGAACTGTAACCCGAACGCCTGCAAGGGATGTGCCATGCTATCCTGCCCGTAGTTCCGCAGCTACTCCATACAATGTTGCGCAAGTGCCACCTTCGGTCTTGGTAGCAGTAAATATGTTTTTTGCCAGCTAGCTGGCCTCTGCGTACACCGCAGACACAGCCACACACAACAGAAAGATACAGATCACAGTAGTAGCGTGGTCTTTGTTCACTCACGGTAGTGTGGTCTTTGTTCACTCACGGTGGAAGATGGAAGAGCGTAGTGTATAGATGAGCATGAAGAAGGTTAAGGGCATGCCACCTCACGCATATACATGTACACGTATGTACCAGACAAACATGAAGCAAGAAGTGAACCACTGTGGCGAATGGGGCCGTCGGATAATTAACCAGCCCGAAGCTGGCAGAAAAAACCTCAGGACCCCGGCGGAGGCACAACCCTGAGGAAAACCGGTTAGAATAACCCCATAAGATAAATGAACAAAACGTAGCCTGCAGGACCTATCCCGAAGTGAGAATAAACGGGCGGGCGGGTGGGAAACTACAACGAAAAGAGAAAGACCACGATGAAGAGAAAAGTTTGAGAACACTGACAAAAAACCAGCTGACGCAATCCTGGTGCCGTAACTATGGTGAAAATG